AAGAACACATTTTACATATGTTTTTATAAATATTATATTAAATTATAATCATAATAAATATTTCAATTGCAATTAATAATTGCAAAGATAATATTCTGAAATTTATCGACATTACATTATCGCGACATGATACTACAATTAAATAATAATTAAATAATACATAAATTATAATAATAATTAAATAATAAATAAATAATGCCTATCATGTTGCAGACAGGTAGGCGATTATGAAAATATTTCACGACGCACGCGTTATAGAAATTCTCGTTATGATTTGATCAGCTCGTTCGATGGGAAATTGCAACGTTACCGAAAATCGATCTATACATAGAGTCTTTCCCAGCCAATTTGTCGGTGCCGTCTGCTGTTCGATGAATACCCTTACGCCGCCCAAATCATCCCCCAGGAAACGTCAGTATATTCAAAGCATAACGCCTCTACCAGCCCCCGGATCGTGCAATTTCGTCGTCAGCTCTCTTACGAAACTAATGTCGATCGTATATATCGTTGGGGCGTGGTGCCTGAAAGGATGTGTACGTTACGGAATGATATATCGACGTCGAGCTGCAATAGCGCGCAGAAAATGAGCAAACCTGTGAGAATTCTGTCCGGCACTTCCGATCATTGTCAGCAAACTTTTAATACTCTTAAAAGCTACATGTCACCCATAGAAAAAATTTGATTCTCTTTTAACATTTCTCCGAAACTAGGCGACTTGCAAAATATTGATATAATATTATTTATTATAATAAATTATATTATATTATATTATATTATATTATATTATATTAAATTATATTATATTATATTATATATATTATATTATATTATATTATATATTATATTATATATTATTATTATAATTATATTTATATTATATTATATTATATTATATTATATTATATTATAATAAATTATATTATATTATATTATATTATTTATTATAATATTTTTTATTAGAATATTCATACAAAAATGTTTGAGGTTTAAATAATTCGTGGAAAAATAAAATTAAAGAGTAACAGAACTATATAATTCTAATTCTTGCCAATATTCCAAAATAATGTTCTGTAATATATCTATAATAAAATATGACATAATTCCCATGATATTCTAATAATACCCAATGACGTTTCCTTTTCAGCAAAGTGGAAACTGAATCTTGCCGAGTCACTTGAGGAAAATCGAGCACGGAATAGAGACCGGAACGAATGTACGAAGGAAGCTCGAGGTTAGATAAGAGACATTCTTTTAGCAGCGACAAGACGGTGAATCCTCCCCATTGACGGCTCGTGTCGAGCTCGTGTTGCGAGCCACCCCGATGACTGCGTCGTCTCGCGAGCGCTAAAACAACATTTTAAGCGGACAAACGTGCATGGAAAATGGTAACAAAAGGCGTGACCGGGGCGGAACACATGTCCAAACATTAGGTACAATGTCCTTTACCGGTTTAGAATTGCATCGAAAACTCACCCCCGGTAACCCTCCCTTTCTCCCCCCGGGGTTCCCCGTCTCGATTCGACTGCGTGTTGCCAGCGGCAAAATGTTTGCAATGCGTTACACGGGCATTCAGAGGCCCCGGGAAACGCTCGGGCCGGTAAACGGTGCATAAATGCCATGCAATGGTCAAGAAATAGCCGAGGAGAATGACCGCGCAGACTGGTGTCACACTCTTTGCTCAATGGACCGGGGATTTTACTGGCGGCCGTGTCCCTTGCACAGTCAGAATCTCATTCACAAAGGTCGTCCGTCGCGCCACTCGTCGAGCAAACACCATAAAACTGTTACCCGTTTGACAGGGTGTTATGATATTCATTGACGCGCCGCGTCATCATGACCGTAGAATTAATCGGCGGACAGGGAATCGCGAAGTGAAACATAAATGTTGCCTCATCTCGACTTACAGACATCCCTATAGGATTTTTTCCACTGTAAAAGAAATTACATTAAAAATTACATAAATAATTTTAATGTAAAATTACGTGATAAATAATGTAATTTTACACTTATTATTAATGTAATTTTACATATTTTTGTGTAATATATTATTACATATATTTTGTTACAGTAGGGGTGACATGATTAAATTTTTTTTCTTTTTCTTAATTAAAATAATTTTTTCATTAAATATGCAAATGTCAAATGATGTCATGAAACGTCAAAATGACGTAAGTTCGCTACTTGGGAAATTTCAGTGTTTATTTAAAAGAAGAGCAAATGCTTAACTTTTTACTGATTCCAAGTGCAGATGTTTAAACAATTTTGAATATAAAATTATATGATAGAAAAAATATTTCGTTTTCTTAGACAGTTGGAGAAGTCGAGATTTGATCTCTTCGCGTTCGAATCCTGTGAGAAATTAAAATAAAATGTTGCACTTTTTCATCTTCGAATTTTCTTCTTCATTCATAGAGTCCCGTTTTTATTGAAAAAAATCGAGAATACGGATATATGTGCACGCGACGGAATTCTGAAGCTTCTGGAAAAAAGGCACGATCCAAAGTCCAAACAAACATCCTTATGCAAGGGGGATGCACCATTGAAGATTCACCGCAGGTTACAACAACGTCGGTGCCTGCTGCCCTTTCGTCGTCAAAGAGCGAAGTCTCTTCTACATCTCCGGCTTTCTTCCCGGGGATGCCCCATCGTATCTATCGACCCTTTTTCTATTTCGAATCCGAAGCTACACACATCGCCGCTTTCTCTCTTTCTCTCTCTCTCTCTCTTTTGCCCCGGGGTTATGAGATTTTATGAGAGCCAAAGCGGTTTACTACGCGCGTTGGATCTGCTTTTCTCCTCATCTCCCGAATGGTTGTCGCAAAAGTACTAACTTGAAGAAGTAATAACATCGACGCGTCGATTTTTATATACAAGTGGTTTAAAACCACGTTATATTATATTATCAAGACATTTGTGCAGAATATCGTATATATGAAAAATCTTTAATAATAAAATAGAAGAAATATGTATAACTATTGTGCCTATATACATATATAGTTCTTCTTTTTTCCAAAATTTTATAAAACTTGATTTAATAAAAAATTCCAATTAATCTAAATCAATTTGCACAAATGTGTACGACTTGAGGAGGAATCTTGGAAGATGACTCCGCGCGATGGAATTTCATGGAAAGGCACACATGTGCAACTCATTCGTGGAATTTGACGATCTAGGCGTGGTAATTTCCCGTACGTACATTCTCAATATAGAAACAGGTAGAGAGAGAATGAGAGGGTCGCAATTGTTTGACAGGATATGAGCGAGGAAGGATGTGAAACAATTGACCGATCCTAAGATTCTTCATAAAACCGATATAATCGAATACCGCTCGATACAGCGAGACAAAGAGATGAAAAACAAAAAAAAAAAAATCGCTCCTCTCGCGAGTCTTCGGCGCTTTAGCCCTACCTCTTGTAGAAAGTCAAACACGATCGTAAGCGATATCGAGAAAACGTGTGCATTACGACACTCGATGGCAGTAACCTCGCACGGTGATGGAGTAGAAAAAAGAAGAGAAAACGTCAAGAGAAAACGAAAGACGGAAAGAGAGAGGATGACGGGGACTATTTTTCTTTCCCTCGTTACAGCTCTCTCTCTCTCTCCTTCGTTACCACGAAGAAGAAGGTGGTTCTCTCGATTCTCTCCGAGACGTGGACGCTATGTGGGTCGTTCCGTCTCATCTTGTTCCGCGAGCGTTTCGTTCCGGGCCGCCTCGCGAGCCCAACTTGCGTCAATATTTGACTCAAACACGTTAAAACAATACCCGTAGCGGGCGCGCGGAGAGTCGTTTCGACGTGCTTCCCAGAATTTTATCTCGCGTCGGAAAACGCCTAACGACTTCCCGCCGCGCGCTGGATTTCGTTGTCGCTCCGGTGGATGTATAGAGAAGAGGAGGATTATATTCATGAGGAGAGAGAGGTCACCGGTTAAAATTGCATCCTTCTCGCGCCTCTCTTTAATTTTGCATATACGCCTCTCCTGCCACCTCTTCTGCTTCTCGCTTCGCGACGACGAAGTGGTACACGGTGTGTGTCACACGTGCGTGCGCAAGAATAAATTAGGTAGTAGTAATGGGAAATGAAAATATACGACTCTCCCCGTGAAATCGCAGATTTTGCAGCCCGTTCATTTATTTATTAATTTCAAAGCCTTATATATTCGCGCGAATACGGTGGAAAGTCGTTTCTCGAAAGGGAGAACGAGAGACAAAATTATCTCCTGACCCCGAAGAAGAGAGGAGAAAGAATCTCGCACGAATGACAGAAATCAGCTGATTCGCGGAGGTGACACCGCGAAGAAGAGGGAAGAGTGTGTCACACGTGCGTGCGCAAGAATAAATTTATTTATCAAATTTAGAAGTTTTATATATTCGTGTAATACATGGAAAGTCTTTTCTCGAAAGGGAGAACGAGAGAAAAAATTATCTCCTGACCCCTAAGAAGAAAGGAGAAAGAATCTCGCTGAATGACAGAAATCAGCTGATTCCTGTCATTCGTGCGATACGGTGGAAAGTCTTTTCTCGAAAGGAAGAACGAGAGAAAATTATCTCCTGACCCCTAAAAAATTGGAAAAAAAGAAAATAAGTGACAATAAAAAAATCTCGCGCGAATGACAGGAATCAGCTGATTCGCGGAGATGACACCGCGAAGAGGGAAGAGTGTGTCACACGTGCGTGCGCAAGAATAAATTTATTTATCAAATTCAGAAGTTTTATATATTCGTGTAATACATGAAAAGTCTTTTCTCGAAAGGGAGAACGAGAGAAAAAAATTATCTCCTGACCCCGAAGAAGAGAGGAGAAAGAATCTCGCTGAATGACAGAAATCAGCTGATTCCTGTCATTCGTGCGATACGGTGGAAAGTCTTTTCTCGAAAGGAAGAACGAGAGAAAATTATCTCCTGACCCCTAAAAAATGGAAAAAGAGAAAATAAGTGACAATAAAAAAATCTCGCGCGAATGACAGGAATCAGCTGATTCACGGAGAAGAAAGAAGAAAGGGGTCGCGCAAACGCGAAAGACGCAATAATACCGCGCTCTCTCTTTCCTCTCGTGCCCTTTGAAAGACGCGGAATATTGTCCTGCAGTGCAAACAGAGTCCCAGACACATTCCGCGTTCCACTTTGGTGCCGGAGGCTGCTGCGACAAGACGCGACTCGCCGCGGCGTGTTTGCTCGCAGGCAAATGTGTTTCCTTAGGCTGTCCGAAATGTTTGGACGGGCCCGTGCGAGCTCGGTATAAGTGTCCAATGATTCAATGGCAGGCACCGGCGATGCGGATACATAAGGGTAGACCACGGAAGACGGACAGAAATGCCCATCTTTTCGAGCACCTGCGAAAATCCGCCGTGATTCGCAGTCATCTTCGCGAAAAACGACATTATATCTGATGTTATTCTGACTGATTAATAAAAAAAATCGATATCCCTGAAAACAAAAACGACGTAGACAGAGCGTTAATAAAAAATTGCATTTTCTGCGACGCTATCGATTGTGTCGGGCAATTAGTATTGACGTCTGATATTCCCAGGCAAACACGTGTATCTAATATCCGTATAGACGTTTACAATGTAATTTGAATAGAGTGAAGAAGGTGACTCGCGATGGACTGATAAACGCAATTTTTACGGTATTTGAAGACGCGTTCCCCGTTTCGTTTAATAGCGACATTTAAGTTTAACTTCGCTATCGGCATCATCGTGCTACATTCGCCTTCCATTCGCGCGATTATTATCATTGTTCAACAAAAAAAATTAACCATGACGAGACTAGTCGTTTCTTATAGTTTCGTCAACGATTTAACTGTAATAAGCTGTCATAGCAAACTTTTGCAACACAGCTCATATTTAACCATAGATATTTTATTAACCATAAATAACACCCGAAATTCCTTTTAAGGGTTAAAAGTCCTAACAACATACTTTATTTTAATTGCAATAAAATTTCTCCAGCACGCCACATATTCTAGTTATAATATGACAAAGTTCGTGAAAATACCCTTTTTGCAACTTAAATTAAAAATGTGACGTGAGCAATTTGGAAATCGGATTCGTATTCAGCACAAAAAAACTATAAGAAACAATTAGTCTCGTTCCGGTGTTGGAAAAAAAGTCATTTTTTTTTGTCGAGCCAGTATGTTATCAGCGTTTTCGCGAGACGCGTTCGACAGTATCGCGGAATGATATCTAGCGCTAATGACGCTTCACGCCCACGTGGCCGCGATCTCGCGGGATCTCGAGGCGACGGACGTCACACACAGCCGCTGTCATCTTACACGTCGTCACGTCGGCAGGTATACGGGTATCCGTCCCATTTGCAACTAGTCGCATTATTGTTAGCCCGAGGTATCTCTGCCATACCGCGCGGTACACACGCCGCTTATGTACACACGTATCTTCAGCTCAGGTAGGTAGGTATAGGGTAGATACGTACCTATACGACGAGGCCGCCTCGTCCTTAGACCGGGTGGTGTTGCGCGCCCGCGCGCATACACGTACACAGATGTAGGTGTGATGTATATGTGTGCGTCTCTCTGCGGGATGACGACAGGCAAGGGTTACGTGTGTGTGTGTGTGTGTGTGTGAGCGGGTGTACCCAGGGGGTGGCGTAATATAGAGAGCGGCTAAAGGCGGACGTAATTTCCTGCCCGCCTGACAACGCTGCAGACATGTTTGCGCAACTAACACACGCAATCTACTTAGAGCCTACATGTGTCCCTACGACAATGCGCCAACACATGGCTAATCTATTCCCGGCAGGTACGCGAGATGACGGTGGGTGTATTGCGCATGTGTCTATGTGTGCATATATATATATATATGTATATGTGCGCCATTGCGCGCGCGCGCGCTAGCCTGCGATCCGCTCTGCAACATCTATACCATGGCCCGAGGGTCTTTGATCGGAGCACCGAGGAAGGATATCCAATGATGAAGAGAGAGAGAGAGAGAGAAAATCGATGGATGCAAGGAAGTTGCACATATTAATTCGGTCGACGCTTCTCGATCGACTTCGACATAATAAAATAAATTGACGATGCATTAAAAGTGACTACGAGTTGAAATTCATGGATGTTATCTCGAAATGCTTCTCTCTTTTTCGAATGTATACAAAATCTTGCTACAACATTTCATTAAAATTGATACAAAGATTGCAGAAGAGTGTCGACTATACAATTTAATTTTTAACATGCGTCTTTTCGTGATTATGTAATCTCAGAGGATTCATCATGTGACTAATAGTCACAATAATAGAAAAATAAAATAAAATAATAATAATTAATATTATAATAAAAATTTGGTGGCAAAACCGCATCGCTATAGCGTCTCCACATATTTGCCTGTCAATTGTTCTTCGTGTTACGACGATTTCTACGGGAAATCCCGACGTTTTCAGTTGAGCACAGCTGATGGACGAGCGCGCGCCGGTTGCAAAAGACGATGTCCTGGGGTGTAAGCTGGTGAAAGTAGAATCGCACGCTGGCAATGAGCGCGGGGCTCTTGTCCAAATACTGACTCACTGCGACAACAGCGGATCACCACTACTATCTTCATCTACGTCATAACGGCGGGATCGAAAGCTCAGCTGATTGCCTGGTATCATCCCTGGAAAAGAAACAGTCGGTTGTTTATTGTCACGCGCGTGAGACGAAGACACGTATCGATTCGATATAATCGTGTAATCGAAGACAAGAAGAGAGACAGAAAGAGAAAAAGCGCTTTACTTTCGATTAGTCCCGAATTAATCCAAAAAAGTACCGTTGTTCAACTTAAATACGATGACAATTTTTTTCCGTCGCGAAAAGGTATTTTCCAATTTGCAAAAAAAAAAATATGTACAGCCAGGTATTCGCGTTGTTTAAATTTCTTCGAAGATCCTACGCGAGAATGTGTCACGTAGAGTGAAGTGTCAGTCGAATCTCCTCGAAGCAGGGGTGTGCAGGGGCTTAAATCGTTAGGGCGCGTGTTAGGGGTGAGAATTAAGTGTGTCGGCTTACAATAATATGAGCTAATGCTATGCAAAACAGAGTCGCCGCACTTCCCACCCGAATACGAACTTTCAGCAGGTCCCTCGATCTTTAGGAAATAATCCAATTGTGTCTCTTCCAAGAAGAAAAAGAACAAAAAAATAGGGTAGGGTGACCAAATTCGGGTCAGATTTTGAAAACTCTTTTTTCCTTGAAAACATTTGTTTTACATGAAAATGTTGCTTATAATGTCCTCTATAAAATTCTCAAGAGATATAGTTTCTTCTGAAAAGCAGAAGACAAGTTTAATCATATCCCTGAATTTAATCCGCATCCAGGACCCGTCCAAATTCGGATCAGCAGCGGAATGTCTTGGCCTTCAGGTATTAAATAGGATCAGACGATATGAAATTTTGAAAGTATCTTTTTGTAACTTTCTGCAAAATTTCATAAAAATATTTGCACAGTGAATTGAAAGCAAGAATGAAATTACTTGCATACCTTCAAAACACGTTTCGTTTGAGTTAGCATATTTATTGTAATTTATATTGCTAGTTTTCTTTCCTAGCTGAGCAGAAACAAAACATCATCGACGCCTTATTCTATAATGTTGTTATTATAAAACGTACATTTGAACGAATAATTGTGAAATTCGCTAAATTAGCGAACTGTCAAATTTTTGGTACCTGATTCGAATTTGGTGAACCTACCCTAGAGAATTTCTAGTTTCCTCAGTTAGAGACAAACCGTGTAAAATAAAGATACCTTCTTATAATGACTTCTTATAATGACTTTTCACATATATTTCTTTGGCGCGATGTATCCTTCCTGCGAGGATATTTCAGGATATTATGAGCGATTCCAGAATATCTCGTCTATTTCACTCAAGCACACAGAGGAGCGCGCTATTGTTCGCTCTTTTAATGTTTCGGGGATATTCCTCGGAGAATATCTGTACGGCACCCAGAGGATGTCCTTAGGCTATTTGAAATGCCAGTGGCGTAACTGGGGCGCGGTTACTGCGTCTCGAGTCGTAAATGTCAACTCGACACGGAGGCGTGTCATCGCGTAATATCAATTTGTTGCCGCTATACACGTATTATAAACGTCGTCCTTTATAACGCCGCGCGCGATCCGTAATTAGTTGTTGTATCATTTTCGCTGCATTTGGTAAATACACACATTATTTACATTCTTCATAGCCGCACATCATATACGTCGATTACATTATTCCTCCATTAAACGAATAAAGCGAACGGAAAATTACATTCTCGCACGCGAATCCGCTTTATTATCGTCGCGCAGCTCCCAATTTCGATGAAGAAGACACAGATGGACTCTGTGATATTTTTTCGAAAAAAAAAAAAAATAATAATAATAATCAGACGAATCGCGAGATATCTAAATAATTAGCCCGATCGTTTCCAGCCCAACTTTGGCGACCAAAGCGCGCAACCAGCACCCTGTCATCATCTTTTTCCCCGTCGAATGTAAATGCAGGCAATATCGCAATGTTGGCGCCAATGGGCCGCGCTCGAGTGACTGGTGCTGATTGATGTTGCGATGTTTGGCCAGAGGGTTGTTTCTGCGCTAACCCACCCCCGAGCGGACCCAATAAGCACCTCACGCACATACAAGCTTTCGTCCGTCCACCTACGCACCCTGGCCTCCCTGAAGGAGGTGGTGCTTATTGTTTACACGAGCGCTGCAGCCCGTCTGTCGCGAAACCTCTCGTCCTCCTTCGCTAGATCCCTGGGGGATTGAGGAAGAACGGGGCTGGCTTTAAACCAGCCCTGTTCGACGGCCGCCGCACGACCGACGACATCAATTTGTCGGATTTGAATCATAGCTGGCGACGAATTGATCGCTCGCGATATTGCCGGCGAATTTGCGTATGTGAGTGTCCTTCGCGAAAAGGATTATTATCAATTGTCGTTGATCAATATTTTGAAAATAGTAAAATCATTTCCGGATCGACAGTGAAATGAAATTACGAACGACCCAACTGTCACAAATATTCGTTATTCTTATTAATCATTAATATTATTAATAATATTTTTTATATTATATTTAAGGTATGTTAAGATTTATTTGATTTCAATTTGTGATTGTGAATTCTAATTTGTTTCAATGAGTTTTAAGACTTGAAAAGGACCAAGGGTCGAAACGTCGTCTATATGTGACATCATAAGAACAAAGAATATTTTTGACAGTTGGGTCGTTCGTAATATACCTGGTAAATATTTTTAAGCTTTTTTACCTTCGATACAGTCTGGAGATCGCTTAATTTCGTTTAATAAAGGAAATATATATTTTTAAAAATATTCAATATAATTTGCAATAAATATTTTTGCCCATGATCGAGCAATCTTCGTTAACAGAATCGCATGTTTATTGACGAAAAGCGCATATTTATCAAGCGCTTTCCCTCTCTCTCTCTCTCTCTCCCTCAATAGCCCATTTCGTTGCGTGGTTATCAAAGCAAAAAAAAAGGTAGCGATGAAAAAATAGCGTAGATACAAATCCCGGTGGATGAGCATGGAGATCGTTGGAGTGCGGAAACAGCAGCGATTGGATAAACAAAACTGTTTACCAGTAAACGCAATAATTGTCTCATATTTCCTAGCAGTCGTGTCACGCATGATTCGATATCTAATATTCGTTGCATATTGAGCATTATCTCAATCGGATGTTCCGCAATGGAAAAAATATGCAAATGTGTTCTTTAACAATAGACCAAATTTTTTCAGAGAACTCATGACAATTTTTTGGAACATCGAAATATATCGAAAGTTTCCTTATATCTCAAGATAATCGAAAGTGGATCGAATCTTATAATAATTTTGTATAGCTTCGTTTGTCCATTAATAATTGTAATAAATCAACCTGAAATATATATATATATATATATATGAATGGATTTAATAGATATAAAATTTTCAATCTCTGTATTTAAGTATAAAAAAAATCACGCGCACATTCTGTATCTTTGCAAACCAGATCTGTCAGTGACAATACAGGGTGTCCGGTAACTAACGGACCAATGATTAAGGGCGGATTCTCTGGCCAATTTGGAGACAATTTTTCCTTAGCAAAAATATTGAGAAGTCAATAATTTTCGATAAAGTTAATTTCAGGTAGAGTTTACTATAATAAAATTTTAATTTGAGGCTCAGTTATAAAGATACATAATGACAAATATTGAAAAGTTGTAAAAAACGATGATCTTTTTCGACATTTTTGCTGAGGAAAAATCGTTCCCAAATTGACCAAAGAATCCACTTGTAATCGTTGCTCCGTTAGTTACCGGACACCCTGTATATGAGAAATGTCAGACGCGTTCGACGGACGCGCGAGCGTGTCGGAACGATTTTATCTCGCGAGACTACAAAAACGATAATGAAATTCGCGCGAGCGGCTGTATGATGCCGAATTAAAATCGAGTTAAAATCACTCGCGCGTTCGTTAAAACTCGTCCAACGAATGGCGATATATCCGTCCCGTTCCTCCTCTCGCCTTCCCTCGATCCGAAAGTGCATTAATTATACGAATGTGGACGTGCGCGTGGTACGGGAATATTTTAATCTACTTAAAAAGCCATCCGTTTGAAAGTAATTATCGCGATGAAATTAAAATGTCAACGGGGGACGACGAGCGCGCTCTTGTTTGTGCTCCGCGATCGCCGTTCGCGTCCTGTTTACCTGCAAATCTAACTAATCTAAATGGTAATGCGACAGAATTACGATACGCGGTAGTTGTCCGCTTCTCCTGGTCCATCGCGACCTCCCCTTTTTTCATCGTACTGTCATCGTTGACGCGTTAACAAACGTTTTTCGTTCATAAAAATGTACAACCGTTGACTTTCCGAACACGTGCGATGGATTTGAAATTCCTGATGAGCTCGATTATTCCAAGCTAAATTGGCAGCAACTGTGTAAAAAGCGGATAACGATGATGAGAGAGCGATAATGCTTTCGGGGAGAGATACTGAAAATTCGCTGACACTTGAGTTAACTTTAGTTAGTGAAATTAATTTTCGCATAAATTGTGTGTTATGTAAAATTTTTGATTTATATTAATATGGAGGAAATATAACGATATTAATATTCAATATATAAAATTTACTTTTAAACGGATGAATTTTTAAGTAGATTGAAATAATCTCCCCCTGATACCGCAAGTGTCAAAATTAATTTAATTTATATTTTTTAATCGCGCAAATCAACGGTTTGCCATAATTATCATATAATTTTATTAATACAAAAGTAGATGAAAAAAAATAAAAATGATCCTGAATATTTGCCTGATATATATAATAACATTATAGAGTCTCTGCCAAAATTATCAGGGTTTAAAAACAAACCTTGATAGGAAAAGGTGAAACACCGAGTTACTGTCTTCAATTTATAATTAAAATATTTTTATTGCGCTGAAGAAGGCTTGAAATGTCAGCCGAAACGTTCGCAAAATGTTTATTTCTTATGTATTTATTATTTGGTTTAAATAAATTTTATTAATATCAACTGTCAACTGTATTAAGTTTAATAGCTCTTATAGCCCTTCTTTGTGTACAATTATTAAAAAATAAAAAAAACGACGTCATCCTGTCTTCGTATATACGTGAGACCTCGAACGCTT